TTTTTTCTTCCACTGAATATCAGTCAAACTCATCTATAGACATAGAGGTGCGGACAGTTTTCTGAGCACACCATGGAAAGTATTCTGGGCATAGTGTTTCAGGTGTTTTATATTTCCTTCCCCTTTCTTCTTCCCTCCATAAGAGCTTTTCATATTAGCATGGAAAAGTATCCCCATTCTGACAGTGGAATGATCGGTTCTGAAAGTCTCCTGTCCTGGGACATCTCAGTCCCAAGCAAACCAGAACAGACAGTCACCCTAGTTGTCCCATAATGGGTTCCCCTCCTTTCCTAAGTTTTTTTCACATGGCACCCAAGAGGACATAGTGCTTTAGACATAGCCAGCCTGCTGTCAATGTACCTCATATCCCAAGAGATTTCATGGCAGGCTTTTTCCTACTTTACCTAAAGGAGTCTCAGCAAGTATAGCTGGTCAAGCTGGAGGAAGGCACAGAGCCTGGTGCACACTTTCTGTTTCTAATGGAAAAGTAAGTGATCACAGAGGCCTTGCTAACAGGGAAGGTGTACTGTGCTCTCTGCCTTCCTGAGATTCTCTAAGAACATTTCTCAGAGTTCCCTGGAGCCTTTAACCACTTGTTTAAACACCAGTTCTTAGGGAATGGACTGTAAAAAATTATCCATGTTTTTAAAACTTAAGATTCCCTCCAAGGTAAAAATAATGCCTTGTAATGAATAAATGGTAACCAGGTGAAACCCAGAAAAATATAATTGAGATGTGGCCATAAAGGCTCATATTCTGATATTCGACTATTGCATGTGTGTAGGTATGTAGGGTTGTACATGTATGTGTGTAAGATTGGGGGTGGGCAGGAAGGAGAGAAAGAATAGTATAGGTTAGAATGGGAAGCATTAATTATACAACTTACTCTCACATTTCCAAATTTTAGGTGATTTTCTCTTTCTCAGTTCACAAAATCTGGTAGTCGGAATGGACAATAAATGAGTATTTTCAGGTAAAGTATGGACCAAATAGCCTTGCTACCATATACAAAGTCATTTGAGAGAAGACAGTTGTAACCTGCAAGATACAAAATCCTTAGTATCGGTAAAGGCATCCTGGGACTAAGCATTTTTCCTCTGTTTTTGGTGGGAACTAGATCACTACCTTAAGGAGGCTGTTGCAATAGATCTCCCCAAAGACTGAATCAAGGAGGGCACTAAAACTCCTGGACACACTGACACATTCTTCCCTTTCTCCCTATCCCTTGGCCAAGGGATTTGTCCTTCTTCCCATGCTAAGACTTTATGAATTTCTTTTATTTTTATTTAACTCAAGTCTTGAGCAAAAAATATATTGTTCTGCATCCAGGTCAGAAAACTCCTAAGAATTTACAAGCTGCCTATGGAGTTTTAAGGGTGTTTTAAATGATTTTGCTGGGATTTGCTAATATATCCGAAAGTGGTATCTACAAAATTAAAAAAAAAAAAAAGAACCCAAGGTGCCTTTTGAATTTTCTAATAGATATTATGAACAGTAGAGGATCTCCTCTACTGGTAAATCTTCAAAGATAATCTGTCAAGTCTGAACTCTGAGGAAATGACGACCTGGCACTGAAACCTACGCTGCCTTCTCAAATAGAAGTTTTTCTGTATGTCTTAATCTCTCTCTCTCCTCATGTGCCACCATTGGAAACCAAAGACACATTTTCCTTCATTTATATTTCCCTTTAAGTGGTAGAATTCATACAAGATAAGTTGCTATGGACATGGCAGAATAAAAATTCTCTTTGGAATAGTTTCAGAAAGCAGAGAGGAAAGAGCCTGCCCTTTTTAACTGGGAAGTGTTCAAGCATGTGCTCACAAGACATTGGCTTCATACATATGAAATCAGCCTGAAGAAAGGCAGCCACCACCAAAGAAAACTGGAGCCTTTATTCACATGCTGCTCTCCATATCTACAAGTAGATTGGCTGCAAAAGCTGTTCATACCCCGCACATTTGACTTACCAACTTCCAAAGGTGGATGGATGTCAGAGTCGTGGCTTTGAGAACATTTCAAGGTTCAGTGCTTCCTGGATGGTCCCAGGTGGAATTGCCACACTTTACTTCTACAATTAGAAGTCTGTCTTGTGACCAGTGAACCAACCCACCTTTATCCCAAACATATCCTGCTGAGGGCCCTCTCAGATAACTCTCACCATGTTTCTCTCTAGGCTCTCTTACACGGAAATCTCCATCACCCAAGAAGCTTCTATCTGTGGTCAAGATGTGGCTTTTTTCTTTGTCTTGAATGAATGGCCTGGCTGGTGCCTTGTGGCTGGCTACCATTTTCTCTGATAGCATCAGCCTTTATGTTATAATCCTTGTTTTCAAGTTCTAAGACTGCTAATGCTGCATATTCTCGTAGATAATATATTAGTCTCTTTAGGAAGGTATATTTCTGTAAGGATTATGCCATTTGCAAGGCATAAGGCAGAAGAGATCTTTACGGGATGGTGAACTAAATTGCATCAGGTTTTGCTTTGGCAAGGACACCAGATGGATGCCTCTATGATGAAGTGGGTCTCCTCCAGCCTTTTCTTTTATGCCGGTCTCCAACAGGTGTTTTCTCTAAAGCATATCTGTTTTCCATAACATCGGAATAAAGAAAGAAATGAATGAAGAACGAAGAAAGCTGTCTGTGACAGTTTGTGTATATAGATCATGCTTTTATTATGATAGAAAACTGTATAGTGAATAATTTGCTATTCTGGGTCCAGTTAAAATGTTCTTGGGAGAAAATCATCTTTCGTTAGCCAAAAGGGCATCTAATTTTCAGATCAAGAACTCTTCATTCGTTATTTGTTGGGGGTGTGGAGGTGAGGAGGAGGAGAAGTGGGGAAAAGCTGAAGAAAGTGACCAGAAGAAAAGCAGTAGCAGGTGTTGTAGACCTGAGTGCTGAGGGCAGAGAGCAGAAAGCCACCTCCCTAAAAGTAACTTGGTACATTATATCAATATCTGAGGGAAGGTGTCTAGGAAAACTACACATGGAAAGGAAAGAAGGTTCTATGAATGAGTAAGAGTCAGTTCTCCAAATCCTGACAAAATCAAAACCAGACTTGAGTCTTAGGTGTGTTCCTTTTAACAAGCTTGGCATAAAGCCATCACCATGGTCCTGTCTAGTACCATTAAGAAAGCCTGTGTAGCTCTTAGGATTCTGGATTGGAGCTCATGACTTACAGATATTTAAACCACCAAAAGTCATGTTAATTTGAATGAACAAAGTAACCCATTTCAGTCAAGCTGACCATGAGGCTAAGATGACATCTTCTGTCTAGGTATATGACTAGAATCCATTAAGTTTATAAGTAGATCTTAAATGAAGAGAAAAATAAGGATTGCACATAGGCATTGGCTGATCATTAGAAATTAGCCTCTCTACTTTTCCAAAACCCTCTCCAATGCCCCATCTTCCCACCCTAGGTTCTGTGTCTAGGCCCTCTCTCTATCCCATCACTTTAAGTCTGACACTTCAATTTCAGTTTAAGTAAGTTCCTTGTCTGAAAAAAAATGTGACTTAAGATAGCTGTTGTGCTGAAACTAACCTTTTAACAAAGAGAAAAAAATTGTTTGTCATTGGAGTCTGAGTCTTTGGACCAGGTATTGAATAACAAGCTATATTAATTCACAGGGAAAAACCCCTAACCCTTCAGCACAGAGAGCAGTAGGTTGTATTTCTCCCGGGTTGTACAGTAAAATCTCACAAGAGAATGCTGTCATAAGGTACTGATTATCAGGGCTGAACCTATAATGTGACATAGTACAGTATGTCCCAAAAGACATTTCAAGGGATAGTAAAAGATGTTTTTTTAAATTAGTAAATAAAATAAGTAAGTATACAAGTAAATAGTAAAAGTTGTTGTGGTCAAATAAGTATATGAAATACTGGTCTATATAAATTTTAAATGATTTCTGTTTTTTGTAAGGCTTTTTAGAATCTTCATATGCTAAAGTGTACTGTGAATCTCAAAAAGGGTGTACTTTTCTTAAAATTTATTTGACTACAGAAAACATTTCCTTAGTACCTCTCTAATTACATGTTTTTAAGAAAAGGCATTTATGTTAAGATAGGATGGACTTAAGCTGTGGTAACAACCATGAATTTCAGTGGCTTACCCAACAAAGGTATATTTCTTCTTCATATTTCATGTGTAACACAGGTCAAGGAGGTCAGGGCATGCTCTTCCACATAGTCACTCATGTTCTCAGGATGGTTATCTCCACAGCAGGTTAGAAGAGAGCCTGAAGAATTGCATGGAGGCTTGGCAGTAGGGCAGTGATTACTTCTCCCATTTTATTGGCCAGAACAAGTCATGTGGCTCCACCTAGTTGCCTTTATGCTAAGGAAAGAAAGAATTAGACATTCCAAGTACCAGTAATCTCAACTTCAGCATTATGTTGAAACACCAGCTTTGACTTTTATCTATAAAATAAGGGGTGTTCTTTAAAGTCTCTGGCAGAGACAGAAATGTTAACAATATTTCAATTGCTTCTCACGTTCCTCAGCCTCCTTAAAGTCAGTGGGATCCATATGACTAGCTCTGGCCAATGAAATGTGAGCAACAATGATATATGTCACATTGGGCGAAGGCACTTAAAAGCCCAGGCTTAATTCTCTAGTCTCTTTCTCTTCCCTTGCTTTAATGATGGAGGAGGAGGAGTATTCCCTATGTGTGGCCTTAAGATGGTAGAGCCTCTGTCCTTCTAAAAGACAGACTGAGTGGCTGTGTGGAGCAGAGACAGCTGTTTACCTGAGCAAAATATGTAGTGTTGGTGAGAAATAACTTGTGTTGTCTTAAGCCCCCGAATGTTTAGTATGTCTTCAACTATGATACAGTCTGGATATTCAGTGTTCTTCAGACATGAGTCTTTGTCCTGGAGTCTCATTCTCCTGTGTTATTCTTCGTTTTGGGCTCAAGGCTCTAATGAATTTGACATTTTGGCTTTGTTGCACCAGAGCCACAAATGTTCTCATGCTAACTCTCCATTCTTACTACTTAGGTCTTTTCTCTCTGAAGATACCGACTGTTTTGATAGCAGTGGCATGTTTCACTGGTGTAAAGCAACCCCTTTGGACAACGTGATTCTGGTAGGTGATCTTGCATCAACTCTCAAATAAAAGTTTCTCTAAGGATAAATAATATCCTTCCAGTAGTCATAGGGACCTGCATTTTCTCTTTGTAAACTATGAATTTTGGAGGAAAAACACATCCCTCATCAGCCAGATGAATCGTTTGCAAGGTAACAAATGTGGCATTTGACAAAGACTATTTGGGTAACATATTGGGATTTAAAAAAAATTAGATCAGATTCTTCCACTACTTCTTTTCCTTCCTTTAACAATTTAGCTGAGTCAGTTATTCAGAATAATGTTCTCCTGAAACTTTGTTGTTTTGCTAGCAAATCTAATTAATTTAAATGTACCAGGGAAACCTACTATTTACAAGAACTCTGTAGTCTTTCCTCTTTTTTTAAGCCAATAAACATTTTCCTAATTTACCAGTTTTAAAGTTTGGATTTTCTAAATAGTAGTTTTTCTTAAAGCTGACTGTATTTATACTAAACACATCAGCCAAGAATGTATCTCTTAGATGCCTGCCCCTTACAACATGGTAAATACTTATAGGTACTAGAATCCTGTCCCGGCTTCTGTCCTCTCGAGAAGATAACTAACTCAGCTCACTGAAATGTGAGCAACTAAGATATAAAAAACCTAGTATCCTAATCCAGGCTCTGATGCCTGCTTTTTGGTTCCCCATCTATTCTCATTTTCCAGAGTTAGAAACTCAAGTATAATCTCAGTGGTTTGCCTTGTAAGCAGTAGTTGGTAAATTTAACTAATAAAAGTGATTGCTTGCATGTTGCATGAACACAATATAATTTTTTAACTATGACTAATTGACAATTATGGATTTTTTCTTGCTTTCCCAAAGTTGTTCAGTTCACCTTTTTCTGTTATACACACACACATGCCCCAAATCCTTGTGCCTTACTCAGTCAGTACCAATGTCCTGACAGAATATGTTTCAATTTTTGTAAAAGCATGATCAATCATTTGATCAGAAGCACAAAATTGTCAGAGCTGTCATATCAACTAGAAGACTATTAGGGTTTCTGAAACTCATCATGTTAACAATTATGGCTTATTCTAAACTAAGCAAAATAAAACATCCGTTGAGCAGCCAGCCACACATGTTTTCAGTGGGAGGGAAATCTTTAGAAAGGTTGGGAAGTTGGTTGCAGATAGAGGCATCCAAGGGACCAAGAAATGGAAATAGCAGATGTTTTATTATACCATATTTGCTACGCATGCAGACAGGTGTCTATGATAGATATCTCCTCTATGACACCCGATGTGGATATAGTTCAGAACACCAACTGAGACTTTTGATAAGTGTAAGACTTCTAGTTTACAAAATACTAAGGGTTTTGAAACTTGTGACCCTAGAGGATTATTGTCCAGATTGCAAAATTCAGGGAGGCTTCAAACTTAGTTTAGTTTGCAGAAGGGTCAAGTGGAAGTGGCTGATTTCATTTACTTTGAACAAATAGTGCATCCTCCTCTTCCCCACTTGGAAGACAGTTTTGTGCCAATTTCTTGGACAAATTGCCTCTCTAGCTGTACCCATTAATGTACTCTGCTATGTATCTTGTTTTTAATTGTTTAGTTTTACTCAGAAGAGTAATTGTTGGACTTCGGGCATGTTGCATTAAATACCGTTAGAGGCTTCATTATTCAAGTTAAAACTAATCAGATTAGCTAGAGACGATTACTAAATAGATTTGGTTAAGATTCATATCACTCTCTAGGAAGGCTCTCCAGACAAGTAGCTTTATTTCCCCTCACAGGGCGATTCCCTTCGGAAAGAGAGTATTTCTCAGTATATGCTAATTTGACAAACTCTAATTGTTGAGATGTCAGATGTTACTTATTTATCCTGTTAGATTTCATCAGGCCTTGTTTCACAGAAGCTTGTCATTTAGCCCAGCTAAGGACTGACATAAGGGAGAATGATACATCCATTTGAAATACTCTGAGTCTTCGTGTGCTCACTAATTAAGAATAAACGCACTCATACATGATGTGCTTTTAAATACATGTAACTTGTTCCCTACCAGCTTCCAAGAGTCCTCCTCTGAAAATCTAGAAATTCAGTAAGATTCAGATTTGATTAATAGTTATCGAACAATAGTTAATGAGTTGAATACTGTACTTTCAATATATTATTTAGTTTCTAGAACAGAATTAACTTCTATTTATTTTAAACAATTTAAACTTAAAGAAGTTGAGAGTCAGAGAAATCAACTACTTTGTCATAGTCATACAGCATATGGCAAAACCAGAATACAAAACCAGGTCTTCTGACTCCAAGTCCAGTGCTCTCTCTACTCCATCCCAGCTTTGTGCAAGGAGGCAGTGACTCAGTCATTGAATGAAATCTGACAAAGGCTTAAAATAAATTTTCTTTAGAAATATTTCTTTTTAAAAAGTTACATTTATTGTTTTTAAATGTCTCTATAAACATGAAAGAAACCTAATCTAAATATTCATCATATATATTATTTTGTTTTCAACTTAGAGATACACAGGCGATGTTAACAATTGGCAACACAGTATAAGAAATATTTGAATGTTTAGGATCAAATGGAATTATTATAATCTTCTCATTTCTTTTGTGCACTTTAGATAATGAATTTCCTCAAGTCTGGAAAGAGTCTAATGAACCAGTTTAATTTTTGTAAAAACATGATCAATCATTTGATCAGAAGCACAAAATTGTCAGAGCTGTCATATCAACTAGAAGACTGTTAGTTGCTGAAACTTACCATATTAGCAGTTATGTCTTACTCTAAACTAAGCAAAATAGTTATTAAATATAAATATTAGGTTGAACCATGTGAAATTGCCAATATTCAACCATTTGTGACCCATCAAAAGGTAATTTCATATGGTTCAAACTAACATGTATTTTTGTATGTGTGAAAATCTGCTGAAAACTGCAACATGTTTTGCAACATGTTCGTAATTTTCAGGGCTCACTAGGAGACAAGTTTAGCAATAGAGTTTAGAATGTTTTAGTTTGTCACTGACTCTTACTGTAAGTACTTACGAGGCTACAAACATAATGAAAATAAGAGATTATCTCCATTTGGGTCAGTGATTTCACACCTTGAGGAATGATAATGATTTGAGTTTTAATCGATACACTCCGGGCTAATAATGAAATAAGGAACTCCACAAAAAGATCAAAAGTATAATTGCCCTACTATTTATAAGTTCCATTTTTTATGAAAAGTTTGCAAAATTCTGTTATCCTTATAAAAGTACTCCTGTGGATGTACCTAGAAGGGTTGGATTGAGGGGAAGGAGCCTTTTTTGAGGAACTCTCATCTCATTTCTAAAAATGACCAAATTCTGGCCTGCTTATGCTTAGAAACGATCTGACAAGTCAAAACATGAGTTTCGGAACCATGTTGTAGCATGTATCTTCGGAGATGCCCAGTCAACACTGATGGGGCTTCGGAATTTCGTAATGCCCTTGAGAGCTAGCAACTATACCCGGCAGGAGCTGAAGGACATTGTGTTCATCGGGTCTCTGGATTACCTGCGGAGAGAATGGCGATTTCTCCGAAATTTCCCCCAGATATACATTCTGCCTGTAAGTATCACATATGGGGTAGTGAATATCTATAACAATAATAACACAAATAATACTAGCACTAGTAATAGTAATAAATAATAGCTTGCAGTTATATAGTGTTTCCTGGTACCAGAACTGTTCTTTGCATTTTACATATAGAAACCCATTTACTCTTCAAAATACACTCCGATGGGGTAGATTTTAAAGATCTTGAAATTTGGGCATGGAATAACTAATCTGTCCAAGTTTACACAGCAAGTAAGTAACAAGACTAGGATTTAAATCCAGACATTATGCTCAAGAGCCACCATGTTTTATGTTTTATGTTTATAATGATGTTTTATGGTCTTATATAAATAAGAATTTCTCTGCATTTCTGAACCTGATTCTGACTTAATGGTAAACCTAAGCTGATATTAGACAGCCTCTGTACTCTAACTTTCTCATCTTTTCTGAAGACACATCTTTTATGGAACACATAATGCCACACATCCTTGATAGATGTATGAAAAAGAGGAATTAGGTTTATGTTTCTGAGAAATGGATCCATTATGCATATGTGGCATTGTAGTTGCAATTGTATTTGCTCTAAACCTTCATAGGTCTGTGTCCCATCATATGTCACCATTTCTCTGGATTAAAAAAACTATTATGTGCAGTAGGAAATGCACTAAAGCATTTGAGTTTTCTTGAAAGAATGCTGGAATTATGTATAGAGTACTTTCAAACTTCAGAAATGGTCCTCTCAAGAAGCAAATTTCATTTGCTTCTTTAAAAAGTCACCTTAGTGTTCCCCTCATGATTCCCTTATTTTAGTTGAAAGAAAGAAAGAAAATTACCAGACGTCTCTAGATCCAGCTAATGTTGGGAATTACCAACATTATTTGCATCTAAGCTACCTGAATGCAGGGCCAGATCTTTCCCTTTTTTTCCATCAAAGGAAAGAAGCAACCACCATTTTGCTAGTTAATCTAGAGAGTGCAAGTGGGGCCCGCTACAAGTGAGATTGTGAGGATATAAAATTTGCCCTTGGATCCATAACTTCCCCTTTGTCTGACTCCCCACACCCCTGCCCCCTGCCCATTGTTTCCCTTCCTCTGCTTCTCTACTCTAAGTTGAGTGATCTAAATGGATTTAGGCTCCCCCTCTCCACCTTCCTTTGTCTCATCCAGACTTGCTCTCAGGACAGGGTTTGTGAAACATATTCACACCAAGTATATTAGTGACTGATGAGGCGAAATATGTCAGAAATCAGGTAACTAAGTCTTAAAACCAAGTCAGTGGAAGCTGGAGAGGCTTTGGCTCAAAAATCGCATCTCCAGCAAAGAGTCACCACCATGAGTCGTGATATAAAATCCTTGCATTTGAGAAGTCCCTCCTCTACCCGGTTTCCTCTCATTAGGGATCTGCACTCTATTCTGGAGACCTCCGTGCAGTCAACATAGAGGAATGTTCCATGTGCGCTGTATTATCCCCCCCATCCAAGACATCAAGCAGCCAGACACTGGTAGACACAGAGACCATCATGACCACCCTCAACCTAGGATCACTGAGGATAAGCTGCACTGCCCGGACACCGTCAGAGTCAGGTAAGAATAACACTCTGCCAGGAAAAGCCTAGGGAGAATGGAATAAGGAAAGAGAATTAATTCTTCTCTGACGTATTTTACTCATGGGGAGGAGGAGAGCTTGGGCTAGATGTCCTCTAAGGTCCCTTTCAACTCTGAGAATTCTGTAATATAATTGGTGGACAGTTTAGTCCTTGAGAATCTTAAGTCTACTGAAAAATGATGTCCATCTTCTAAATGGAATGCATGAAACACTTTTTCCATTTTAAGTAAAATCACAGAATTATAAGTGATAATGTTGTTACTAATCAAATATTAGTGAACATACCCTTTGGTATATTACTATAATTGGTAACGGGTATTACCAAGCAAATTCTCTTTGGATCTTATATAAGTTCAAGTTATTAGTTTTAGCTTCGTGGTTGAGAGAATAAAGTATAATTCTCTTTTACTCATCAAGATGCTTTCAATATGTGAATTTTAGGAGATGATCTCTAAAGTTCTTTTCAACTTCTATACACTAAAAATGTCACATTTCAGCTTCAGATTGGAAAGAGAGGGAGAGAAGCATGGCTCTCCTTATAATGGAGATGGTATTGTTTCCTCTTCCATATTCCTTTCAGTGCCTAGCACAGTTAACAGTCACTTAGTAGGTGCTTAACACATATTTATTGAATTGAAACAAATGAACCAGTGATCTGGACTCTTGAGTAGCGTCACACACCTCCTGTATTCAAACGTACTTGACATGAATTCCCACCATAAAATTGCGTGTTCATTCTACCCCCACATGGGAAAAGGCTTACATGTTAGTCTGTTTCTAAAACTTGACAACTAGCCACTCAGCCTAATATGAAAGCACTACTACTGAAGAATTTTCTGTATCTAAAGCAAACTTTCAATTCAAGAAATCAAAGTAAACCATGGCTGGAGTCCCCTGGGGAATGTTGATCCTCTTCACCAAGATCAGGTGCTCAGCCATCCACTTTGCACGGAGCTTGGAGAGGTCAGATGTCATAGGCATTGCAAGGCTTTCATGATTATGGATATGGATAAAAATATTCATGGGTTAAGTTGGGAAACTAAAACAATTCTGACTCCTAAGCACTGTTGCTAGGTGGGAAAACATAAAGTTCTTGGGACAAAGGAGTAAACGATAATCTAGTCTAATCTGTGGTAGGTGAACTGAACTAGCTATGTGACACACCCTCACTAAGCAATCAAACTCCACTCAGAATCCAGGGTTTCAGATTCTTTTGCAAAGCAGAACTAATAGCAAAGCACTTCATGAATGTCAAAGGGCATTGAAATCCAGACTAAGGAAATGTGATCCATGCCTCTATTGAGCAAATGTGAAGATCCATAAAAATGCTGTCGTGTTCTGCACTTAAATCTTTAGGTTAGCAGTTGGGGTCATTCAGATTCACACAAGATTTGTGTATGGTGTGTTCGTGAGTGTAGAGTGGAGAGAAGTATAGGGAGCGAGCGTATGGTGTGTGTGAGTGTAGGCGTATGGGAGTGTCTGTGTGCATCATGCTTGGAACTTTCTATAATTGGTCAGAGAAGTATTCACTTTAAAGGCAGTATCATCAGTATACGAATGAAAATGCTCACGAGGAAAAGCCTGGAATAAACTGACAACATCATGAGCCACCCAGTCAATCATCTAGGTAACTTGTCCTTTCTATTATTTTATTATTAGTAGTATTAGTATTAGAATTTGTATTATTTGTAGTATTTTGATCTTACATTCCCTATAAGCTAGGAAGATATAAACCTATGATTTTAGTCCTAGTTTCCTTTAGTTCTAGTGATTTTCATCCTTCATTTATTCATTTATTCATTCAACAAAAATATATTGATTCTATATGATGTGTCATGTACTCTGTTACAGGCCAGAGAGTTTACCTTAAAGGGTTGATAGAAGAAGATAGAGGAGAGAGGGGAAAAGGACTGGAAAGGAAAAAGAGAAAATGAAAGAATGTCAAAGTATTTGAATTGTCATGAAGCATAAGTAGGTTCTTTTACTCAAGATAGAAGGGAAAATTTAGAGAAAAATGTATTTTATAGGCCTTACACTATTCCTTTTATGACTGTCATACCCATTGGTATGGCAGAGAAATATAAGTCCAGACAGGCTCTACTGAGCTACCTAACAAGTCACCCAGTCTGTTTATCAGGTGCCATAGAATCAGTAAAGTCACATTCTGAGCACGTGTGAATAGCAAAGGACCATTACTCAGAAGCCTCACCAACTACTCTGGCATCATAGGAATCTGCCTGGAGTTTATATATATAAATCCCCAATCCTCAAAGAAGACTATTTGATTCTCTTAACTATTGTTCTCATTTTATAGTAATACTCCTCTCGTACCCTACATAAGAGGTGGAAATGGGGATACCCACCTCCAAGAGCTGACAGTGTAAAGGACTGTGAAATTCTACCAGGAGGTAGAAAATGTCGTCCATGCCAAGACCAATATAATAGAGATCCTCAATTTTGGGGCTATGGACCAGTACTGGTACTGGTCCACAGCCTGTTAGGAACCTGGCTGCACAGCAGGAAGTGAGCAGCAGGCACAAGTGAAGCTTCATCTGCATTTGCAGCCGCTCCCCAGCGCTAGCATCACCGCCTCAGCTCTACTTCAGATCATCAGGCATTAGATTCTCATAGGAGCACCAGTCCCTGGGGCCAAAATGTTTGGGGACCACTGCAATATAAGACTAGCTGATAGGCAGTTTTCTTTCCCTTCTTCTAGGACAGTGGTTCTCAACCTGGGGACAGTTTTGCCTCAAGAGGAAACCTGACAATGTCTAGAGACCGTTTCGGTTGCCACTACTTGGGCAGATGCTATTGGCATCTAGTGGGTAGAGGTCAGAGTTCCTGCTAAACATCCTACAATGCATGGGACAGCACTACATGATTTAAAAAACAAAAACAAAAATTAAAAAAAAAAAAAAACTTTCGGCCCAAAATGTCAATAGTACTGATTTCGGAAATCTTGCCTTAGCATATCTGATGAGGCTTTTGTGGGATCAATGGGCTTTTCCACATCTTCGCAGTCATAAAATTACATATGAAGCTCAGGTAGGACCACCATGGCGACTCCATACAGTGATTTCCAGTGGATGTTGGGGGTGGGAGGAAGTAGAGGGAAGGTTGTCTGAAGGATCAGCAAGAACACTGGGCTTCCTGGACATCTCCGTGGAAAACTTTAGGTTTTCCAGTGATGCTCTAATTATTGCCCTGTCACGTCACAAGAACAGGTTGGCAAACCTAGGTACCGAACTAAATAATCTGCGGAATAATCTAAACATATAACGGTAATTAAGTCTGACAACTTAATATGCTACTGAAATTTAAATGTACAGTAGTAATCTACAATTAAGCAATCTTTTGTAATAGCATCCTGCCAGCCTGGAAGATTTCAGGTATAATGCTATGTACTATTAGGTAACAAAAATATTGACATTAGTAAAATGTACCCAGGCTATGATCTGACATATTCAAATTAACCATTGCTCTATAAGAAAAGATGGAATTAAGGCAGAAATTCACTTGCTGTCCTTCTGCCTGTGTCAGAAGCAGATATTTAAGCAGTCACTTCAGTTGATGTAGATGTGTCTGTATCCAATAAGAACATTTAACTCTAAGTCTGGCTACTCTAATCCCTGGCTACTCTAATTAAGAGGGAACAGGAATCAGGAAATGGGGTTCAAAGGAAGATTTCCTGTTTGAGGGAAACCGAGCTCAATATTTTACTGAAAATGTCAGCCAAACCTTGTATATTTTAATAGCGCTACAAAGTAGTCCTGAAAAGGGCATGCATTGGCTTTGAAATTAATGCTGATTGGGGCATCAAAACCCATCTACTATTTACAAGCCATTTAATCTTGGGCAAAGTGTGTAAACCCTCAATCGGTTTCATCTTCAAAAGTGATCTAACTATACTTGATTCACAGATATGTTGTGATAATAGTATAATTTTTATTTCCTTATGTTTTCTACTGCTCACTGCAGCCAGAGGGATCTTTTACAAATATTTATCAGATCATGTCAGTTCCCTACTTTAAACCCTATAATGGTGATCCATGACTATTATAGAAAAATAATGTAGGGTCTTGCAGGCCAGTAAGGAGTTTGCATTTTCTCCCACTTCATCCTGTTTATAGTGGCTCTTTGGTGCCTTAGGTCCATTACCCCAGTGGTCCCCAACCTTTTTTGCTGCAGGGACCCATGCTCCAATGAGAATCTAATGCCTGATGGTCTGAGGTGGAGCTGAGGCGGTGATGCTAGCACTGGGGAGCGGCTGCAAATACAAATGAAGCTTCGCTCTGCCGGCTGGTTCGCTGCTCACCTCCTGCTGTGCAGCTCAGTTCCTTATAGGCCACTGACTGCTACTGGTTGTAGCCCAAGGTTTGGGGACCCCTGCCTTACCCCATTCCCTCTGCTCAGGTGGATTTTTCTCACCTCTCAAGACTTCATTCCAAGTCAGAGAAACCTCTCTTCAAATCCTATTTAAAAACACCTGCCCACTTCAATTGCTAGCCCTTAAAGGTTGTTAAAGGTTGTTTTTTTCACAGTACTCATCACTATCTGAAACTATTTTGTATTTGCAACATGCGTATGTAACTGGAAGGGGGGCTGTTCACAGTCCTAGCATGCAGTAGATACTCTTAATATTTGTATAAGGTAGTAAGGAAGGAAGGAAAGAATGGTGGGAAGAAGAAAGGAAAAGAACATAAAGCAGATAAAATATCTTACATGGTTCTGAAAATAAGGTAAAATCTCATTTCCCTAAGACTTCCTGCATTATGGAAATCCCAGAGTTTTTTGGGTTTTTTTCGTTTTGTTTTGTTTTGTTTTTTAAGGAAAACAGTTTAAGATATTCAGATCTCATTATGAATAAGATTTTCTGGTGAATTAGGATATCTGAGCTCTAGCCTTGATGTCAACCTTCCCTTTTAAAAAACTTTTATTGAGGTAACTGGTTTGTAACAGTATGTAAGTTTCAGGTGTACAACATCGTAATTCGATATCTGTATACGCTATAGTGCGCTTACCAGCAAAAGTCAAGTTTTCATTTCTCACCACACATTCGAGTTTCTTTACCCATTTTGCACTCCCTCCGCTTCCCTTCCCCTCTAGTAACAACCAATCTCTTATCTGTATCTGTGAGTTTGGTTTTGTTAGTTCATTTTTTTTTTTTTGGTTGTTTGGGATTTTTGTTTGTTTGTTTTATATTCTACATACAAATGAAACCATATGACTTTCGCCCTTTTCCATCTGACTTATGTTGCTCAGTGTAATAACCTCAAGGTCCAACCTTCCTCTTAAACAGTTCTGTGAACAAAGTTAGCCCCAGGGTGGGGGGCTTCCATTTCCTCACCTAAATTCCTAAGGTCACTGCCAAACCACGAGAGTTGGCCTCTTCCTGGGGAGCTTCAGTTTTTACCCTGAATCTATTTTGAAGCACGGCTCAGAATTTGGAGTGGCTATCAAAAATATATTCAGCTCCACTCCACATTAACAAGAAGTGGCTCTTTTACCAAATATTTTTGGGGGAGATGGAAGAGGTGGTAAGTATTGCAGTACGTCATATTCTCTATGAAAACAATCTCCCTTTGGAGTTTCCCTTTTTCCCTGTTCCCATCTCAGTGGCCAGATGTCCCACCACCATTCCTTTGTCTGTCTCTCAAGCTGTCTTACCTACCTGCTCACTCCATTCATTTCACATCTTGCCCTCCCTCCCTCCCATTTACCTGGCTCAGTAAACAGAGGACCCTCCAAATATGTTGCTCTCTTCATAGCATGGAATTTAAATTACAAGCAGAATTTTAGCTTCCACAGAATTTTTCTCTGTTACATAGCATTCTTAGAAAAGTTAAGAATGGTAACCAACAGTTTTAAAGCATAATTTCTGATAAGATCGGGGTGTGTGTGTGTGTGTCTGTGTGTGTGTGTGTTTAACTGGAGCCTAGATTCCCGTTTTTTTCTTTCCTTTTCTTTTTTTTTTTACATTTTTTGGTTTAACTTGGACACCAAAACTCTGGTATAATGCTTGTCTTTGAAACTCTACATAGTATACCGCCTGACAGAGCCGTTTCAGGCCAGTGCTGTGCGTCGACTCTCTTTCAGAGTCAAGGCTCACAGGGGTAAATGAAGGGTCTCACCTCTGAATGCAGGAAGGAAATCTGTAAACGGAACACAAAGGGCAAAAGCCCCAAGTGATATCTCGCCCCAGTCTTTAAGGAACTCCCAAGGCATTTCTGGTTGGAACAGTCCAACCAGAGATAGGAGGTAGCCAGTTCTGCTGAAGAAGAAAGAAGACATGAGTAGTGTCTCAGTCCAGAGAAGATCTCGAAGAGACAGGTAGCACTAGCAGCCAGAAAACAGTTACAATGTTACTGAATGCACGCATGGAGCAGCACCACCTATTTATTCATAGTTTCTTAAAAGTTTTACGAGGCAGATAGATGCGTTTAGGGGCACCGCCTGCCTGAGCCATTACCCAGCACTATCATGCCATGGAGAACAATAATATTTTATTTATGATGTCAGTAAACAAGTACTGGGAGAGCTTTATCTTTTTTGTAATTCATTGCAAGTGCCGTTTAGAAAACACACACAGATACCACCTTCAAAAGGAGATGCTGAGGATGCCCGAATATACTTTTTTCTAAATATTAAAGACGATTCGGGATTTGAACGTGAGAGTAACTTTACTAAGATAAAGCATCAAGTTCCATGGTGTGCCTCTACATTCTTGTCACATGTTGCAAGCCACTTTGTTTGCATTTAACACTCTCTTCTTTGTTGTTGTCTTTGTCTACAGAGGGGATGTCACATTACTTTAGTGGATGTTTTGGGCACTCAAAACACCGAAGAATCCCCATCCTCACTGAACTGAGTAAGTTGTGTTTCAAGGACAAAATTCAAGGGAGATACCTGTGTGATCCAAAACTGATCTTTTAAAAATCCAGTCAAAGGACTGAGGAAGCAGAATGGAGCCCAAGTGCTTGACTGGACGTTACTCAATTGGTGACATTATCTAGCAGAGCCTATTATATCTGGGTGTCAGGGGGCAGGAGTACCATCTGCCTTCTCCATTCTGCCAGATACCAGGACAGGGAACTCAGCAGCTGGCTCAGTCTTATTCAGAGAGACTCTCCCATGGGAGGGGATGTGGACTTGAAGGCTGCTAGAAAAGATCTCCCTGTACCGAATTATCTGCCCATCCTGGCCCTTTAGGTCAGGTGCCTTCCTTTCCTGTAGTGATACCAGGACCAGCACTGGGGCAAGGCAAGTGAGGCACCCAGGGTACAGAATTTAAGGAGATGCTCACTCTTGGGGCTCCTTCAGTTTTGTGTCCCAGGTGTCTCTCTTGTGTCATCTTAATCCTGGCCCTGAGTGGCACAGTTCTAAAATGGAAATACTCGATGCAGAAATATCAGAATAAACTGATCTCTCACTGACACCTTATGGAAAATGCACATATATGAAACATTCCTAGATATGAGAAGCTCTGGGAGCAGAAAGCAGGGTAGAGAAGACAGGGAAGGTGTTGTGTACATCTTTTGTGGCAAGGGGCGGCGCTCTTTGTGAAGCACTAGTGGATACACTGGGATTTAACACTGATAATAATTGGTGAGAAAAGGAGACAATACCAAAGAGGGAAATGGTTCTTTTAACACAGATTGGACCAACTCAAAGATGATCTGTAAAACTGGTCCTACACATGCGATTTGACTGAATTCCATAGTATGGTAACATTCTTAATGGGTGTTTTATGGCCTAGGGTACCTAAGCTGAGTAAGACATACCAAACCAAATGAATAGACCTCTTAGTCCCAGAAATGAAGCAGGGGGACTGAGAGGAATCGGTAGGTGATACCACCACGTGATCCACGTGATCTGGGAGTGACAGTGCAGGAGATAGGAAATAGTTGTCACTCTGGGTCCTAGAGCACCAGCTCTTCAATTTCAGCTTCAAAGATCTCTCATTAGGCTGGTACCAGCCAGCCTATTTGTAACTATCTTGAAGCTATTGGCTACAGTTTTTATTTATATTTTATTTTTATTTTTCTGTTTTTGAATCGTTTCTAACCTTGAGTAGTATATACACTAAGGACACTGATTAGAAGACCGTAATGTAAATTAGAGTGGTTGGGAGGGGACCAGTCAGGTGCTCACTGGCCCAGAAATGCATCTGATCACTCTCCAGGGACTTAGAGCTTTGTTCAGCTGAAGACTTTCTGGCACCAGGCAGCCCTTGTCAAATTAGCTTAACAAATCACCTGCCAGCTTACTGTTTTTTGTTCTCTGGCTGGCTGGAAAGGGTCACGGTGACATGGGAGCTGCAGATCTGACTGCCAGCACTTTGGTACTGAATGTACAGTGGCCTGCAGGAAAATGGCTAGGAAAGCTGAGGCCACCGGTTTTAGGATGACACAGCAAGATTTGGACAAGGGGCTCCTGGGATGTGTGTGTGTGTGTGTGTATGTGTGTGTTGGATGTTGGCAATGCAATGAGAGGAAATTATATGTTCATAGGAAATGTGGGTTGATATTAGTCATACCTTGCTCATCTTTTATGAAAATATGTAGTTTTTAAAGAAAATGATTTATTAATACTAGCAGTACATCACTTCCCCAAAACTTACTAAGGAATAACTTGAAGAATTAGGGAACAATTCAGTCTTAGTAATGTATTTTGAGTTGTATGTCCAGTAGTATTTGTTTTGATCTGTAATATAACTTTCTTTTTTTTTTGGCGAAGCGACCCTTGGTTGACCTCACAGATTACAAGCACCTTGTCAGCTTACAACCCCTTATTTTATTTGTTTATTTGTTTGTTTGTTTACTTATTTATTTATTTTTACACCTACAGCACCTGGTCTTCCTAGGGGGTCTCCCATCCAAGTACTAACCAGGGCCGACCCTGCTTAGCTTCCGAGATCAGACGGGATCGGGATTGTTCAGGGTGGCATGGCCGTAGACTGTAATATGACTTTCAAAAACTTTAAAGAGTCTAAGACTTTATGCTACTTGCAAACTAGCAAGTTAACCTGCCACAGTTTCATGGATGCTGGCAGAAGACACAAGACCACTGTGTCAGAGACAAAGCATAGTTTATTACTCACAGAGACAGCTGTGACCAGAGTATTATCATTTTTGTGCTGGTCGTCACAGGGTAACATGACAGGGTACCTACTATGGATTATGTTATATGAGAGGAACCAGAATCTTTTATAATGGGCAGTAAGCATGCCTATTTTTTGCTCTGCTTGGAGACACCATCTCTGCTTCCAATGCTAGTCTCTGTGCAAAGATTTTTAAAGCAATAGTGTTAGAACAAAGGCAGTCAGTACCTCTGCTGGCACTCCCAAAAATGACCAGTTGTATTCACTTTAGAGGCTGCCTACAGGGGTCTAAGTTGCAGCCTTCCAGCAGTATAAATATGCTAATGATAATATGGCCCCTGCTACACTGGCCTCAATTAGGAAGATTCTTTGAGCCCTTGTTACTCAAAGTGTAGTCCATGAATCAGCAGCATCAGCAGCATCTGGAAGCTTGATGGGCATGTAGAATCTCAGGCCTACCCTAGACCAATGAATCTGAATCTGTACTGTAACAAGCTCCCCAGGTGATTCACATGTATATTAAATTTTGAGAGGTACTGCTCACTCTGGACCCAGACAGTATAGGAACCTAATACCAAGCCATCTATGGCATAGTATTATGAAAAAGAGTACAACTTATACTCTTTATCATACATTCCTATTTATGTGTATTATCCCAGTGCAATTATTGAAAGTGACCCCTTTTACTTCCAAAAGTGTCCTAGTTTGAAAGATAAATTATATAGGGAGGCATCGGGACACAAGCGTCGAGAAACCGAGCCTGAGGTACTAGGGTTCCCCCTTGATGGTGAAGGTGTCCCAAAAGGATACATGTCTGTAAGGGATAAAGAAAATACTTGAGAAAAAAAATGTACCGAAGTAGTGACAGATTCCACATTGACCCCAAAGTAGGCATCAAATTCTTTGATGAAGTGGTCACCCTTGGTCTGCCTGGTATGGCAGTTCCTATGTTCTTAAACTTGCCTGCTTGTCTTTCCAGTCTCCTTCTTTTGCCTTGCAGAAAATCCTTCCAACATCCACTTCATTGAACAACTTAGTGGAATGGAGGAGCACCTCCCGGGAACAAGACTGCATCTCAGCACTTCCTTTTGCACAGGCACTGTCTTTTCTGGCAGTTTCTTGGATTCCCTCCTGGCCACAGTAAGTGCGGCTAAGCAGAGGAGCCCTCAAGACCAAGCCCCTAGCAGAGGGTAATGCGGATGGCTTAGGGCATGGGTAGATGATGATAATGTCTCACAATTCTAAATTCTCTTTGATTTTTCAAAAAAGCTTGTTCGCAGACAACATTTCATCTTTTCTCACGACCACCTGGCAAGGGCAGCAAAATCTTCACATTTTTAAGATCAAAAACTTAAAGCTGGAGTACTTGATACAGGGGGGAATGAGCAGGTAAACTGCAGAGTGCCTTCCTTTCAGTTTCAAGTGCATCTCAGCAGACCTGGCCCTTTGGTACCAGAACTTAAGAGATACTATCTTTTCTCTCTAAAATATCCCCAAAAGCTCACACAGAAAGCAGCTATAAGTGGACATGGAGTTCAAGGAAAAAGGCCTTTGGAGATGTGAGTTTTGTTCACAGCTGAATCAAATCGCCCTCCACGTTGCCCCTCCCATGGGGCAGATTTTTGATAATGTGGTTGTTCTTCATTCTCAGCCCATCGTTAGCCACTGAGCAGATCCCTTGCATCAATTACAGGATTTCCATAAGTAGAATTCATTCATTGTACAAACAACTATTGAACAGCTATTCTGAGCAGGGCACTACTCAAGGTGCTGGGGACACAGACAAAAGTCTCTGCCCATGTGGAGCTCATGCTGATGGAGGAGACTGACATCAACATGATAAATAAGGAACAGATAATGGACGTCAGATAGGTATAGGGGCTAAAGCAATGTGAGATAGGAGATGTAGGGTTTAGAGAAGGTGTTGCAAATTTCAGTAATGCGGCCAGCGTGGGCAGCACTGGGAAGGTGGCATGTGTGTCAAGTCTGGAGGAGAGGAGAGTACACGCCATTCTGATCTTTAGAGAAGAAACACTCCAGGAGGCAGAAGGAGAAGGGCAAAGGCAGTAAAGTGGGAGCACTCCTGGTGTGTTCAAGAAATTTGACTAAAATTCACAAAATCTGTGTGTAGCCATTTGTGAATAGCTGCAAGAACTCCTCCAGAGTAAATCCTTGTCACCCACTGCCTCACAGACTCCTACTGGGATTTGCCAAGGGAAGGGCTGCAAAATGGCTGAATATCTATATACAGATGCATAAATGCTCAAGGCTCTGAGCACAGTTTGACCAACTTGCTTGCCTCCTGGAATTCCACGTAGAAGAGGCATCTTCTGAATTGTATGGGTGCCTCAAAAGAGCACTTTGTGCTTTAGGGGAGCGTGGCTGGAATACACGTATCCCCCTCATGCATCAGTGCCACTTATTACTGAGAGAATTAAGCTGCCCTGGGCTCTGCCCCTCTAAGCCTTGAGGGAAAGGAAGCCTCATAAACCCCATTGAGCTCTCAGAGAGAGACTACTACATCAGTGATAGTTTAACAAGTTGGCAGACCGAATTTTCTAAAGGGTTAAGCAGCATTCAGCCTTGACTGAGCCAGGGAGAGACGCATTTAAGGGAGTCGAGTCAGGTTACTTCCGAGGTTACTTTTCTGGGAAGGTGGCTCTGGCAGGGAAAGATTTTTAAAACACTGACATTGATACATCAGTTACCTTGCCTGTAATTAATGACTTGCGTGTCAGACAGGAGGTGACTTTTGGTGAACTGGACTTGTCTGCAGGATACATTTTTGATAGCTTTAAGTCCCAGTTCTCTTCAGAGATTCCTAGATGGCAAGGAGCTTTGTGCCTTAAATTAAGCTTGAGCCTTAATTAAACTCTACTGGCCCACGTAAATGGAAACGCAGTCACAAATTCTGCTTAGAGTCAGTGGGAAGAGCAGAATGAGCAGAGAAGGGCAGAAAGAGTATAAATAAAAGCAAATGAACACATAATATAAGCATAGGAAACACGAACTTGGTAATAAGAGTTGGTACCTGGGCTTCTCATCACTTGCCACGTGAGTGTGAGCTAGCGAACCCCTTCAGGTAGTACCCCTTCCTGCCAGGCTGCCTTTAGATATTGTGTCAATGGGCTTCCTGGTTGGAGAAGGCGATGCGGTCATGTTGGAAAGTGAAGTGAGCTATGTAAAATGCTCAGGTGTCTTTTTCTGAGACCCCATGATGAAGTCTGTGAGAGAAAGAAAAAGCCACATGCTGTGGCTTGATATACGAGACAGTTGCATGAGATCACAAGCCACATTGCCCTTAAGGACTGCTGGTAAGTGCTTAGTTTAGGACTGACATATGGGCAATTGAATATGGATAAGGATGGCCATGGAGCTTCAGTAGAAGGCATTCTTTATGTTAAGGGGTCCAGCTTGGATCTTGAACCTCTAAATCTCTGCCTAGTGGCTTTCTGCCCCAGCTCTTGAATCCTTAATGATGTTTGGCACGGCATACTAAACACACTTTAATACTATTTAGAGCTCCAGCCCCAAATCTCTGCCCCTGGTGAACTGAACTAGACCTTTGAAAATAATCAGGGAATCCTGCCCACTCTTGTTTCCCTTCCCTCTGAGCCTGGTACTGTCTTGACTTGGCCTTCTAAGAGTGGAAGTGACTTCCTATCACCCAGCCACATGAAAAGAAAGAGCCCAATGGTCAGGCCTGGGCCTCCAATCCCATCATCTTCACTGTTCTGAGGACCATTTATCTTGTCCAGACTCCTGACCTTACACCTGATCATGTGGAAATGACAGCAATAGCCTCAGAGAGGAAGAGAACATTTATCCTCTTGCACTAGAAACATTTAGGGCCACTGTAGTGGCTCCAGAATACATTCTCCAACACCCAGTTTTATTCTCCATATATCTCCTTGAGGAGAGGTGTAGGAGGAAGGCAAAGTTCTCAATCTTCCCATAAGTGCAGATGGCAGTATGGGCTTGAGGTCTATCACTCCCCCTAGACACTCCCATGACAGATACCAGAAATGATCAG